GGCCCAGGCTCACACCTCATCTCTCTGACGGCTGTGGGTGGACTGCCTTCCGTGGCACCCCATCACCCCAAGGAATTTTCCACAGTTGCAGAACTTGGAGAAACCAGGGAAAGTGGGCAACGTATGTCCACTCCAGGGATCTTGGCAAAAGTCTGAATGTGTCCCCTGACTGGGAACTTCTAGGCCCTTTTCCAGCTCCCATCGTTGCTTTTATGGGTCCCATGCTGGCCAGATGGCCGTTAGGCCAAGAGTCCAGGGTCCTTCTCCTTGTCCACTCACCCATGCACCTAGGCCAGCTTACTCTCTTTTTTCCCAAAGCCAGAGTTGACTGAAATCCAGGCCATAGTTTTTATCTGGTCACCAAGAGAACATGTGTGTCCCATACAGATGAGGCAGGTTTTTCAGAGGGCTGAATGGCTTCTAGTGATGGCTAGGTTAGCAGTCAAAATTAGTTGATATTCAACTAATTTGGTGTTTTGGGTTTTTTAGACAGGGTCTCACTGTGGTTCAGTGGTTCAGGCTGGCCTTGAACTTACTATGTAGCCTATGCTGGCTTTAAACTTGCAGCAATCCTGCCTCAGCCTCCTGGGTGCTAGAATTGCAGGTGTGCAGCACCACACTCAGCCTTTAACAAATTGGTACACAGAGATGGACAGGCTGTGTATAAATTGAGGCTGCTGCATGTTGTTGCAGAGGTGCAGAGCCAAGTTCCCTTCCAGGGTGCCAGACTCTCAAGCCAGCACAGACTTCTGGAGAAGCACTTCAGCCAAAACTCTTGGTAGTGATAATACACCTTTGATGAAGCAACATGCTTTTAGGAATCTAGTATATAGGAAAAGGACCTCGAGGGCAGGGTGTGATGTGCAGGGCAGCTGTTTGGAGATGGGGGAGTTCCAGGGCTTACGGAGTGATTCCTGGGGCATTAGTGCGTGAACATGCAGGGTGTGCAGCCAACCTACCCCACCAGCGGCGAAGCTCAAGGTATGTTGTGGGAAAAAAAGAAAGCTAGATCCAGTTCTTAAAAGCAAATGATGCCAGGCGTGGTGGCACACACCTGTAATCCCAGTACTTGGGAGGTTGAGACAGGAGGATCACTGTGAGTTCAAGGCCAGCCTGGGCTACAAGGTGAGTTCAAGTCTGGCCCTGAACTGCATAGCAAAAGCCTGCCTCAAAAAGACAAAAAAGTGCTGGGCGTGGTGGCACACGCCGGTAATCCCTGAGTGTCTCAGCACTCAGGAGGCTGAGACAGGAGGATTGTTTTGAGTTTGAGACCAGCCTGGGCTACAAAGTAAGCTCAAGGCCAGCCTGAACTGCATAGTGAGACCCTGTCTCAAAAAGACAAAAAACAAAACAAAACAAAACAAAATAAAAAAGACAAAAAAGCTGGTGTGGTGGCACAGGACCAGCACTCAGGCGGCTGAGGCAGGAGAATTGCTGCTTGTTTGAGTTCATTGTTGGCCTGGGCTACAAAGTGAGTTGAAGGCCAGCCTGAACTGCATAGTGAGACCCTGTCTCAAAAACACACACACAAAAAACAAAAGAGCTGGGCGTGATGGTGCACACCTGTAATCCCAGCATGCGGGAGGCTGAAGCAGGAGGATCATCATGAGTTCAAGGCCAGCCTGGGCTACGTACGAAGTGAGTTCAAGTCTTGCCCTGAACTACATAGTGAGACCCTGTCTCAAAAAAAAAATAACAAACATAATATCAAATACTTATCTTATATCAAAACCTGGGTGTTAGTTGTGTGTGGTACTGTACTCCTGTAATCACAGCACTGGGAAGCTGAGGCAGGAGAATCACAAGTTCAAGCCCAGCCTGGGCAGCTTAGGGAAACTGTATCTCTTTCTCTCTTTTCTTTGTTTCTGTATCTCAAAATTAAAAAAAGGGGCTGAGGCTATAATTCAGTGCAAAGGGTATAAGAGAAAAAACTAAAAACATGCATGGGTACACACACACACACACACACACACACACACACACACACACCTGAGTATTGCAATGATAGAAAAGATAACATTCTTACTCTGAAGGATTCCCAAGCCAGGGCTGAAACTGGCCCCTGAACACACAGTTCAAAGTATGTGTCTGGAACCCCAGAGACCATCCCAGGAACAGGTGTTAGTTGGCCTGAAAGCCCGGGGGTAGGGACAGTCCACCCACTGGAGTCAAAGAAAAGGTGCGGCGTACTTCCTGCCCTGGAGAGGGGGTGAACCCAGCACATCTGGCTCCCATCAGATAGGCCTTCAGGGCTTTCAATCCCACTCAGAGCCTACTGTGGTATGGGAAACAGTGTGGCCTGCCCTTCTCTACCTGGTAGTACACAGGGCCAAGATGGGAGCAACACTGGCCTGATCCCATCCGAGGGCAGCAGGGCAGGCACGAGGCACAGAGGCTGAAGCACAGGGCTGGCTAGCAGCACAGGGACTCCTCCTCGGGCCTGGTGGGCTCTGGCCCTCTACCTCCTCCTTTCTACACACAAGACATGGACATCCGTGGTGTGACCTGTGTGGCCTCTGGGGTTAAAGATTTAGAAAAAACAATTTATGGATTCTTTACTCCTGGGAGGGATGTCGGGGTACTCTGGGGAGGGGCTACTCAGCAGGTCCTTCGTCCTGGGTAGGACAGAGACAAAGGACAGGCTCTGCAAGGAACCAGGAAGGAGAGGGCTCCCCCACCAACCCCACTGTCCTCCAGGGCGCTGTGTAATTAATTCTCTATGACTCCAGATGTTCAGCAGCTGTCTTGGCCATTTCCGCCCCTTCTCCTGACCCTGCATCCGCCAGGAAGTGTCCCCTCCTGTCCTTGGGCTTCAAACCACCCCCACCTTCCCTGCACCCCATTTCCTGAGCAGAGGCGTTTGTGCAGACTCAGCTCCCCCTCCTGCTGGGCTGCTTCAGCTTTCCCAAGGCCAGGGCTGTGCTCCCTGGGCCTGGGGCTGCTGTGGTCACTTGCATGGCTCTGGACACACTCTGCCAGGGGCTCTGATCCTGGCTCCATCCCCGCTGGCCTCTGGGACTGGTTTTCTCTCTCTCCTTTCCTTCCTTCTCCAAGGTTGGCTCTGCCTGCTCAGCAGCATAAATCAAGGGCCTCCAGGGAGGCAAACAGAACTGGCCAGGGAGGAAGCATTGCTGCAGTGGGGGAGGGGGGAGGTCCAGGACTTGCAGGCCCCATGGGGGTGGGGTGCATGCTCAGATGTCTGTCTGGAGGGGGGAGAGAGGGATTCTTCTAAGAGCTGATAAGCAGGGACACGGAGTCCCCCCAGCTCTGTTGTCTTCTGAGCAGAAGGGTGGGACACAAGAGGTCACTGCTGCTGCAGCTGGTCCAATCTGGGGGGCTTTCTAGAGAGGGGACAGCTCCCTTCCTGTCACATGCTTTCCTATCTCTCAAGAGCTGGTGGTTCTGGGGCACTCAGGCTGCCATGGGCTGGTGGGGTCAAGAGCCAGGCCAGATACAGGCTAAGGCACGGAGCCCTGGGGGCTATGGCTCCACCTTGCTGACCTATGCCCCGCCAGCATCCGGTCTCTGGTTTTTTCCCTTCTCTTCTTTTGGTGCAGGGGCAGGCTAAGGGCAGGTGGGCCTGGCTGAAGACAAGTCTCCATCTTCAAACACGTCTGAGAGCAGAGTAAGCTGGGAGACTGCTCCTAGAGGACAAGGCAGCTCTAGGTGGGAGCTTTCCCTAGGGAATCACAACAAAATGTAGCACTTCGCACCTACTATACGGACAGCCCTCCAGGACACTTGCCACTGGTGCTGAGGTTACTGCCCTTGCAGGGTCCCAATCAGAGATGGCAGGCCTCCAGGATCACTTCCTGCCCACTGCTTAGACCTGAGTTGAGGAGGCGGGGACTTGGACCCTTCAGTCAGCCCCTCTGCTTTGTGGCCAGGATTGCTCCTATGGTCACACAAAATGCCTGGCACCTTTGGGTCTACACCCATACCCACACCCACAGCGTGTTTATGAGAGTTCCCTGGAAGGTCCCTAAAGGTCTCCTCTTCCACCACTCTGTTAGTCAGTTTCCTGTCACTGACAAAAACCTGAGAAAACCAGCTGAAAGGAGCAAAGGTTTATTTTGGCTCACAGTTGCAGAGGTTTCAGTCCATGAGGGGCCGACTCCACTGCTTCAGGCCTGTGGCAAGGCAGGAACATCCTCGTAGAAGAGTGTGGTGGAGGAAAGCTGCTCAGCTCACACAGCCAGGAAGTAGAGAGAAAGCGAGAGAGCCAGAGGGAAGGAGCTAGAAAATCATCAAGGTCACACACCCTCCCTCTGACACCCACTCCCTTCAACTAGTCCCTACCTCCAACAATGCTGTCAAATTATGAAATTAAGAGCTGTTATGAACCAATCACTTTCCAAAGGCCCAACTCTGAAGATAGATTTTTGGGGGACGTTTTAGATCCCCCAAACCATAACTACTAACCACAATGGCCTCTTTTTCTCCACATAGCCATAGGTGAACATTTCAGGAGGGCAAGGACCACAGTTCCCTGTGGGACACTCTGCCCATCCCTTGGCCCCAGGTGTGACACCCTGTGAGCTCCCTCTTGGGGTACCCTGCTGCCAATCAGGACCCCTGGAGGTGAGAGGGTTAAAGGTTTCATTCTTTTTTTTTCTGGTACCAGGAATCGAACTCAGGACCTCGTGCTTGCCAGGCAGGTGCCTGTGCCAATGAGCTATATCCCCAGACCCTGAGAGGGTTAAAGGACTTGAGAACTGCACCAGTAGGCCCCAAAACATCCTCTTGGTCTTCAGGACCTGACCAGTGAGTACAGCAGGCCAATCTGGGATAAAAGCTGAGTAATTAGTGGGATCTAGATCTCAGCTAACTGGGTCTACAAATTTGGGGTAAGACTGTAACAGACTTAGCAAAACAACAACAAATCTAAAAATAGGACACTCCACTAAATTTGAATTTTAGATAAATAATTTTTTAAATACAGGGCTGGGCATGTAGCTCACTGGTAGAGCATTTGTCTAGCATGCCACAGGCGCTGGGTTTGATCCCTAGCAGCACAAAAACAAAACAAACAAATGAAAAAAAAAAACAGTTTTAAAATACTGGTGCACCTTGTCTTATGATGCATTATACCCTGATAAGCCCATAGTAAGTTGCAAATGTGTAAGTAAAAACTACATTTAATATCCTTAACCTATAGGTCATTAGACCACCTTAAACATAATAACCGTAACCTATAGGTCATTAGGCCACCTTAAACATTTTCACAACACTTACATCAGGAGACAGCTGGGCAAAACCATCTAACACAAAGTCTGTTTTATAATAGCACTGACTCTCAAGTAATTTAGTGCATGCTGAACTGAAAGGAAAAGCAGAGGGTTTGCATGGGTGCACTTCTGCACTAGGGTGAAGTGGGGAATCTTCTAAGTACGTCCCATGCACTATTTGGGACATACTTACAGCCGAAAGGTATTTGCTGTTTCTCTTAAACTCAAGCTTAACTGGTTATTCTGTATTTTATCTGAACCACCAGATGTCGGGGGGGGGATGATTAGCCCCCAAATCACTTTGTTGATTGACCCCTGTTCTGTCCACCCACCTTCAGCTGATTCCAAAGTCAGTGGGGACTACAGTGTTTGGGCCAGGTAGCATCTCAGCTTGGAGCTGAAGCAAGAAAGCAGAAATGGTTGCTGGGTCCTGGAAAGCCTTCCTCAAAGCCTGGGGTCTCTCAGGCAGGAGTGACATCCCTAGCTTTTTTTCAATTGAAAAAAAAAATTGAGACAAGGACTCACTTAATTGTCCAGGATTGGCTTGAACTTGCCATCCTCCTGTGACCTTCTCCTAAGTAGCTGGGATTCAGCATTCAAACCACACCCTGCCTTATCTCTGCTCTCTTGACCCTCAGGTATGCTGGCTCCAGTACAGGAGAGAAAGAGGAACCTGTCAGAGCCCTCTAAAAAAGAGGAAGGGACAACTTGTGTGGTGGCTTGAGGAGGAGTGGGGACTCAACCAAGGGCTGAAAAAGCAGAACCCCAGTCAGGCAGGACCCACCTGGAGAAGGTCATTGCAATTGCTGGTGCCAGTGAAAAGCGGATCCAGAAAAGGTGAGGGAGGGGGGTTTCCAAAGTGTCCTTGCCCCGTTTCCTGAGAAGTGGAGTGGGAGGGGCTGAGCTGGAGGCCCTGAACAGACTGCCTCCTTGCTCGAGCAGCTGCCCCATTCAGACACCAGCCTTGCTGGGGAGATGGAAACCAAAGGACCCCAAGGTGGTAACCCAGTGCAAGCTTGGCTCTGGCATCAGAAATTTTGCTTTCTCCCTAGCTAGATCCCAGCATCTGCCAGGAAGAGGCCAAGGCTGTCCATTTCTGGCCTCTCTGGTGCCCATCTTCAGTTAAGAGGGAGGTGGGAGTGGCTCAAGGCATGGCTTGGGGAAGATGTGGCTGCCTTGGAGGCCTAAGTTGGCTGTTCTCAGGCAGGGCAAAATTTGAGGACCACTGTGCCTTGGAACTCTTTGTGCACCCATCACCCTAGTGTCATCTCTTTCCCCAGCAACAGTGACTCACAAAGCTGGGCGGTGCCAGACAGATGCAGCTTCCCACTGGCTCTGAAAGCCAGGTCACAAAGGCCATTACAGCATACCCGGAAGAGGCACGCCTCAAGACAGCCCTGTGTAGCACTCATCTCTGCAGCTGGGCAGGCCCTGGGCCTCCTGCCATGCCACAGCCCTCAGACTGGGCCTCAGGACTAGTGCAGCAAAGCACGAAGCCTCAGTGTGCTCATGTGTGTCATCTGTTTTGTGAAGGCGTTGGTGCATGTGTTCAAGATCTACCTGACAGCCAACTATACCTACAACTTCCGCAGCTGGCCTGTGGACTTTCGCTGGGATGATGTGTGCTCCGCTGGTGGGGGTGGCAGCGGTCATCGGGCGCTGACGTGCACAGCAGCCGCTGCAGGTGTGTGGTTGCTTCGGGATGCAGCACTGGGAGGGGATGCACCGGGGCGGCCACTGCGCCGGGCTCGCAGTCAGGCACAGTGCCTCCTGCAGCAGATCCGAGAGCTGCCCAGCCAGCTTACCAGCTATGCCTTGGCCCACTCGCTAGGGCGCTGGCTCGTGTACCCTGGTTCCATGTTCCTGATGTCCCGAGCACTGCTGCCACTACTGCAGCAGGGCCAAGAGCGCCTCATGGAGCGCTACCATGGCCGGCGTGCCAAGCTGGTGGCCTGTGATGGCAATGAGATTGACACCATGTTCATGGATCGCCGTCAGAACCCTGGAAGCCATGGTCGTGGCCTGCGCCTGGTCATCTGCTGCGAAGGCAATGCTGGCTTCTATGAGATGGGCTGCCTGTCTGCACCACTTGAAGCTGGCTATTCAGTGCTAGGCTGGAACCACCCAGGTTTTGGGGGCAGCACAGGTGCTCCATTCCCACAGCACGATGCCAACGCCATGGACGTAGTGGTCAAGTATGCTCTGCACCGCCTGCAATTTCCACCTGCACATGTGGTGGTCTATGGCTGGTCCATTGGAGGCTTTACTGCGACCTGGGCTACAATGACTTACCCAGAGCTGGGGGCACTTGTGCTAGATGCCACCTTTGATGACCTTGTGCCGCTAGCACTGAAGGTCATGCCCCACAGCTGGAAGGGACTGGTGGTGCGCACTGTGCGGCAGCACTTCAACCTCAATGTTGCCGAGCAGCTGTGCTGCTACCCTGGGCCAGTGCTGCTGCTCCGGCGCACCCAGGATGACGTGGTCAGCACCTCGAGCCACCTGCCTACCCTGCCCCCTGGAGACGTGGAGGGTAACCGTGGCAATGAACTGCTGCTGCGCCTGCTGCAGCACCGGTATCCGACCTTGATGGCACATGAGGGGCGTGTTGTTGTGACCCGCTGGCTGCGCTCCAACAGCCTGGCACAGGAGGCTGCCTTCTATACACGCTACCGTGTGGATGATGAGTGGTGCCTTGCGATGCTGCACTCTTACCGTGAGCGCTGCCAGGAGCAGGCCTGGGGGCCACATGGGCCCACCTTCCCCTGGCTCGTGGGCCAGGGCCTGAGCCCACGGCGGCAACGCCAGCTTGCACTGTTTCTTGCACGCAAGCACCTCAGGAATGTGGAAGCAACTCACTGCAGCCCGCTGGAGCCTGAGGACTTCCAGTTGCCCTGGAGGCTGTAGCCTGGGCTGGTGAGGCTCCTGCTGTGGGTATTCCACACCTTCCCAGCCTAGGGTTTATTCTCTTCCCCAAAACCCCAACCAGAAAAGCTAGTCCTGCCCAGTATCCTGACCTGGTGTCTGAGGAGGGTAGGCAGTATATCTGGACCATGGGCATCCTTCACAAGGGCATTCAGATCTTCCTTTCGATCTTCCCTGCTCCCACCTTCTTTTCTTTCCTTTCCTTCTGCAAACACTTTTGGACAACTGTGCCCAGTTCCCGAAGGGAATGCAAAGATGAACTTGGCCCAGTTTATGGTAAGACTGTGTGATGGGTGATTGATCATTGCAAAGGCTGTTGGGAATGGGCTGTGGGGCCACAGGGAGGCACCCTTCACCCAGCCTGGTTTCCAAGGAGAGGGGAGAGGTCGCCAGCTGGGTTCAAGTGTGCAAGTTGTCCCTAGCCGTGAAAGGACATTGGAGCCCTAGAGTCATAGTGCAGGACATTCCCTGCTGCTCTCCAGGGTTCCCTTTCCAGATCCATATTCTATAGGGGAGCAGTTTACAGACAGACTGCAGACTTGAAGTAACTGTACAGGGTACCATGAGGCTTAGGGACACCTGCACTGACCATTCATTACTGGGCACTCTCATGGACCAGCCCTGGTGTTGTTCATAGCTCAGGAACACAACACAGAATGAGCGGGCTGGGGATTTAAGTCAGTGGCACAGGGTCTGCCTGGCAAGCATGAGGTTGTGAGTTCGATTCCAGGTACCGGAAAAAAAAACCCACAAACAAACAAAAAAAACCCCACAGAATGAGGCCATGCTCCTGCTCATCATCTGTAATGCAGTCACTTCTTGAAGCAGGGACTATTGCTTGTCCCTGTCATCCACAACTTCTTTTTTTTTTGTACGGGGAATTGAACTCGGGACCTTGTGCTTGCCAGGCAGGTGCTTGTACAGCTCCATTGGGTAGGGGCTGGGCAGGTTGGGGTGAGCAAGGTGGTAAGTGGGGAGGGCATACTGACCGCCCAGAGCATGATACACCTATGGTGGTAAAAGATTGAGGCCTGTGCAAGAGTATCAGGAAGACACTTGGGGAACAGAGAAGCCAGGTGAAGGGATGAGCAGTGTGAGCAGCCTCCAGGCCTTGGAACTGGTACCTGGAGTGGAATAGCTGACAGGGGAGTGCAGTGCAGGGAGAGTAGATCTGAAAAGGTACGAGTACCACTCAAGGATCTTCCAGTATCCTTTTTTTTGTCTTTCCGAGACAGGGTCTTGCTATGCAGTTCAGGCTGGCCTTGAGCTCGCTTTGTAGCTCGGGCTGGCCTTGAACTCACAACGATCCTCCTACCTCAGCCTGATCCTCCTACTTCAGCCTCGCGAGTGCTGGGATTACAGGCGCGTGCCACTACACCCGGCTCTCCCAGTATCCTTAAGTAGGGGCCAAAAAATGGAAGCTTGTTTTAGAGGCAGGATTCCTAGTGGTCACATCCCCCTTGTTTGAAGTCAGGCAGGCTCTTGTTCCAAGGTCTTCTAGATTCCTGGTAGTTGAGTGACCTAGGGGAAGTTACTTTAGCTTGTTTTCTCATCTGTAAAATGGCAAAGGCGACAGGGCTGGGGCTTACTGGTTGCTGTGAAAGGAAATGAGAAAACACCAAGGTGCACGCGCAGGCTAGGGAGAACGTACACGAGAAGACTCACCACTCACTGTGTACATGCCCAAGCCAACTCCGAGTACGAGGCTCAGCGCGCAGTCCAGAGCAGACACACGCGGGTCTAGGGGCTCTGGGACCAGCCGGAGGGCAGCGGCGCCTGCAGGGCAAGGGGACGAATCGCGATCTCATTTTTTCTATGTAACGCCATACAATTAAAAAAAAAAAAAAATCACAAAAAGATAGAAAAAAACCAAGAGCAAAAAACCTATAGGGGTTTGGATGGGGAGAGGGTGACCACCAAAGTCGGGGCGGGCCTTTGAGGGATCCTCAGCGTTCTGAGTCTGGCCAGCAGAGGCGCGCGGCCGAAGCGCGGGGCATAGCGGGCACACACCTCCAAGGGGCTAGCGCCACCCGGCCCCCGGCTTCCGTAGCGCCAAGTCAGACGTTCCTCCCACTTCCCACTTCTCCGGGGTTCCGGCTAGTAGGGCCTTTCTACCTGTGCATCTTGCTGGTAGAGTCAGCCTGAGAGGTGGACCCCAGCCTTCGCTTCCGGCTTCGCATGCAGTTTAGGCCTATCAGGTCGGAATGGATAAGCAAGCCCGGGTCAAAGAACGCTCTCATTGGTGCCATTCCCGGAGGCGGGAGGGAGGCGGAGCGCAAGCTCGAGCGGAAGTGGGCTGGCGCATCGCTGTTACGTAACGCTGCGGCGGCCGGGCAGTTCCGGTGGCTGAGTGCTCTGCAGGCGGCTCCGGTGCCGTCTGTGTGCTTCGTGTAGCTCCCTGTAGCCCGGTCCCGACGCCGGCTGCGACCGGGCCGCCGACCGAACATGGACTCCGCCGGCCAAGGTACCCGGCGCCCGGCGCCTCTCCCACCGATGGGCTGGGCCGCCCCGCACCGTGCCCCTCCCGGGAGTGGCGTCCCGACCGCTCGGTCTCTGCCAGCCCGCTCCGCGGCCTCTCTGTGGCTCGCACGCCCGAACCTCAGCGTTCGTGGTGGCCCTGTCGTGCATCTCCGTCCTCTCTCCAGAGGACCTTCTGCTCCCCTGGGACTTCTCCGAGGTCCCGTCTGCCCAGTGTTCTCCTCTTGTGCCTAGAGTTGGGCGCTTTCTGACTTCGGGAGGCTCTCATTATGTCCCTGTCCCTTGCCGGGTTTTGATGGCTCTGCCGCCCCCTCCGTCCTTTCGAGGACCGTCGGGGACACCTATCTGGCTGTGGATCCTGGCCGAGGCGTTTGGGCGGCTCCGGGAAAGGAGGTGAAACCGTTTGCGCGTTCAGCGCAGCGTCCCTTGAGTGGCAACGCTGCTGTAGTCTGGTCTACTAGGGGTTACATCATAGGGAGAACGATGGAGTGAGTCAGAGGCACACCCAGCACACCGGCCTGTTTCCAGAAGCAGACACCCTGGCAGGAGGTGGACACTGAGGGTTGTGGAGCGGGCCTGGATTAAAGTATTGGGAAGGCCGTGCAGGGCTTGCCTTCCGCTTTGGAGCTCTCCAGAGGGGGTGCTGAATTCCTTCATTGACGTAGCTGCACTGGGTAAATTCAGGAAGCTCTTCTACTGTTTGGGTAGCATCAGCAGAGTGCTTTAGCATTGGTGTCCCTGAGTTCTCATACATTCTGGAATGTTTGTTTTGGGGACTAAATATTTCAGCTTGCTACTGAGCTACACTCCTGTTTCATTTTTGCGACAGTCTCACTAAGTTGCCTAAGAGGGCTGGCCTAGGACTTGCAGACCTCCTGCCTCAACCTCCAGAGTAGGTGGGATTTCTGGGGTACACCGCCACATTTGGCAGTTTTTCTTTTGATAGCTGTTGAGCTGGACACGGTGGCACCTGTATGTAATTCCAGTTACTCAGTAGTCTGAGGCAGGAGAATTGTAAGTTCAAGGTCAGCCGGGCAACTTAATGAGACCCTGCCTCAAAATAAAAATGGGCTGGGAGTGTAGTACAGTGAGTGGTACACTGACCATGAATTCAATTTCCAGTACCAAGGGAAAATAAAGAAAAAAAGTTGCATCAAAAGTCTCCAGTTTTAGGCCAGGTGTGGTGGTGCACGCCTGTAATCTCAGCACTCAGGAGGCTGAGGCAGGAGGGTTGTTGAGAGTTTGAGACCAGCCTGGGCCACAAAGTGAACTCAAGGTCAGCCTGAATTGCATAGAGACCCTCTCTCAAACAACAGCAACAACAAAAATTCTCCAGTTCTGATAAATTAAGTGGACTTACTGTTTTTCTTGCATCTTTAATTGAGATAAGCATTGAAAGCACTAGGGGTTTTTTTTTTTTTTTTCTTGGTCTTTTTTGAGACAGGGTCTCACTATGCATTTCTGGCTATCTTTGAGTTCACTTTGTAGCCCTGGTTGGTTTTGAACTCGAAATGATCCTCCTGCCTCAGCCTCTTTGAGTGCTGGATTACAGGTGTGCGCCACCATGCCCAGCAAAAGTACTAGTTTCTGATAAGAATGATGAAAAACACTGATCACTTGCTGTGTGCCAGACGATAACTTGTTTCTCCAATGATTTTTTAATAATTTTAGAATAACACCTTCAGATTAGTCCTTGTATTTCCCCCATTTTACACATTAGTATAGGAAGAGCTGAGACGTAGGGGTGAATGAGGACTGTATTTTATTCACTGTTTTTGCCAATGGTACCATCCCCACACTTACTCTCTGTAGTGCTTGCTCATACACACACACACACACACACACACACACACACACACACACACGCTTCCTGTTTTGTTTTGTGTTTTTCAGACAGGGTCTTGCTGTGTACTGTAGTCAGGCTGGCTTGACTACACTCACTGTGTAGCCCAGGCTGGCTTCCGGTTCATGGAAATCCTCCTGCCTCAGCCTCCTGAGTGCTGGGGTTACAGGCATGTATCACCATACGCGACTCTATAGTGCTTTTGATAAAACATTTTTGTGTCCTCAGTCACTTTAAGATCTGAGTGGCTTTTATACGCAAGAATGTGTTGAGGTTGGTATCTTGCAGAGTGACCATAAATTGCGTGATATTTGTTTGGTAAGTGGCCAGTTTCTATCTTGAGTATGATATCCATTAAATTCAATTTTAGCTTTATAGGCAGAAATTGTTTGAGAGCCTTTTTTGTTTTAATACAGGAGAAAATTTATTATTTGTTTAGAGACACTGAAATGTGAATAGGTTCAACGTAGTGAAGAGTAGTGAGTAAAATGTAGATTGGTCTCAGCTAAAAATTAGAATAGGTTGTTTCATTTTTTATTCTTTTTGGTTTTTTTTTCCAGTACTGGGAATGGAACTCACAACCTTGTGTTTGCCAGGCAGACGCTGTGCCGCTGAGCTAAATCCCTATCCCCTAGAACAGGTTGTTTTAAAAGTAGCTCAGTGGCACAGCACCTGCCTGGCAAGTGCGAAGTCCTGAGTTTGATTCCCGGCACCCCTCCCCCCAAAAAAGTATATATGCTTTGTTTAGAAAACATTTTGTTTTATTAGTACATGTCTGAAGTATCTAATGATTGCATTTATCATGGGGAGGTGGTACATGTACATAACAGATTTTAATTTTTTTTGTTCCCCTGTACCCCTTAAACGTCTGTTGAGTGCTTAAAAAACACAGCTGCAGAGGTATAGGACATTCAAAGGACATACGATGCAGCTAGTGACTTTTAAGTAGAGCATCTTTGATTTTCAGTGTAATCTGTAATTAGTAGACCCTTCAAAATGTGTGTTGTTGACATACTTACCTGCAATTAAAGACACTTTTCCTTTTTTTTTTTTTTTGGTACCAGGAATTGAACTCTGGACCTTGCACTTGCCAGGCAGGCGCTTGTGCTGCTGAGCTTTATCCCTGGCCCTAAAGACACTTTTCCTTCTCGCCAGTCTATATGTTTTTTATTTTAATTTACTCTAGAACATATAGACATCATTATAAGCTACTTTATTCACAGAAGGCACTGGTAAAAAGGAAAAATATTTGTTGTTGTTGTTTTTAGAAGAGTCTCACCATCTACTTCAGGTTGGCCTTGAACCTTGTGTAGTCCAGGCTGGTCCGGAACTCACAGTGATCTCTTGCCTCAGACTCCCAAGTACTGGGATTATAGGGATGTACCCCTATGCCCAACAGGGAAGATGTTGTCAATGCTGAGTGTACAGAAGTAGTCATGTGTTGGAGAGAATTGAGGTAAAATGTTTCTCTTTATGTGATATCTTCTAGGCATTCAGTGGAGACAGGGAGATGTACTTAATGTGAAGAAAAGTAATGACTGCAGGAGTTTAAACCCGATGTGGTGTGACAGAGGAGTGTGGGACAGTGTTTCCCTCTCACCTCTACACATGCTGGCCGTCTCCTGGCTGTGGGATGAGGATCAAGGATGTGATTAAAGGAAATTTTTGTTTGGTGACTTCTTGCAGGGGCTGAATGACTAACACATGTTACTTGTATGTAATTTTAGCATATCCCTAGCAGAGGAATGAAGTAGAAAGTGATGTTTGTGTTGTTGATCACCATACTAAGTTCCTTTGCTCTAAAAAATGGAAGATCTATTGGACTGGGGTGTTGTCCTTGTAGCAAGTGTTTTCTGCCTTAGTATTCTGACAGGAGAAAGCAGAGTTAGTGTTTGACTACCTTGGCTAGCATTTCTAGTTCCCTAGCAATACAGGTGGTATTGGGTTTGCTTCTCATGTGGCCTGAGAGATAGGTGCCCAGACCACATTTACAAGTCTGGGAGGTGTTGCTGGTCTCCATGACCTCCCTTCCATTCTCTCCCTGACCACCTGCTCTTCCTTCCTTCCTGGGAGACTTCCACCCTATCTACTTCCCGAAAACTTAATGGACACTTTCTGACATCATTTTGTCTCTGGCAGATATCAACCTGAATTCTCCTAACAAAGGTCAGCTGCCTGACTTCATGACTGATGTCCCTGTTGACCCAGGTGTGGCTGCCCAGACTCCTGCTGTTGAGGGTCTGACGGAGGCGGAAGAGGAAGAGCTCAGGACTGAGCTTGCCAAGGTGCTGTGGTCTGTCCTGGGGTGACCAGGATTCAAGGCTGTCTTGGGTTAATGAGGGACCAGACCACTGCCTGTGCTCTGGAGGAATTGCCTTGGTGGGTCACCCTCCTGCTGTTCTGTATTCCTACCCATTATGGGGGCATAGCTTTGTGCTGCCTGGCACGGGGACCTCCATGAGAAAAATATCTTCACAGGGATGGCCTCTCTGAGCATTCCATCAGCTGGGATTTTTTTCCGTTGGGATGAACAATTAACAGTTGCTTTTGAGACTTTATGAATCTGCCTTCCCTAGGAGTTAATTTTTCTTTTGAAAATATGGTTTTAGCTGGGTGTGGTCACGGGTGCCTATAATCCCAGCACTCAGGAGGCTGAGGGAAGAGGACTGCTATGAGTTCAAGGCCTGCCTGAACTACATAGTGAAACCCTGTTTCAAATAGACAAAAAAAAGGAAATAGTCGTTGTATTTTATTTTATTTTTTTGTAAAATTAGGTGCTTCATGTGATCTTTGGGCTGGGGATATAGCTCAGCAGCATAGTGCCTGCCTGGCAAGTACAAGGTCCTGAGTTCAATTCCTGGTACCAAAAAACCAAACAAATGAACACATGATCTTTAAGTAAGATCCCTTAAGAGTAAAATAATTTAGAACTTTGTATTCCTTTATGCATAATTTTTATTCAAAACAACTAACCAGACTTTTACTGTGTCCTGTGATAGAGTTTAATGCTAAGTATCTGATCACAGTGTTCAGCCAGGCAGAGTTTGAAGCTCTGCTTACTGCAGGCTTCCAGTGCTGTTTTCAATACTCTGGGCCCATGCCTAGGTCTGAGTAGAGTGAGTTGAGTAGTTGGGCCTTACCAGCTTTCAGATTGTGAGGACATTCTACAACTGCCTCTAAGTAGAAAGAAGGTTAAAGGAAAAGTATCAAGGGCCTCAAGGAGACTTTGCTTTTAGGAAAACGTAGGCTTAGAAATTGGAGCCAGAGAATCTCTTTCAGAGTTGAATTGCAAGGTGAGCAAGTTTTCTGTTACTTAACAATTTCAGTTTGTTGCACAGCATAGTAGTGCATGGCTATAATCCTAGCACTCTGGGTGGATTTGAAGTTCAAGCCCAGCCTGGGAGACTTAGTGGGACCCTGCTTCAAGAAAGAGAGAGCTGGGATTGTAGCTTAGTGTGAAGATCTTGGTTCAGTTGCCAGTACCACCAGAAAAAAATAAATCACTTTGTATGCTTCCCAGAACAGCTAAACCATCTGACCATGTCTCCTTGAGCCCTGCTGGTCACTGGACTCAAAAGAGGAATGGTCTGTGTTCTGATCACTGCTTGTAATTGCTGGACAGTTGGTGATAGCTTGACCTTAGATGATTATTTCTTTGCTAAACTGATCATTCATGTTTTGTATTGTTTTGTTTTGCTTAGCTGTTATTTCTTGTTTCATCTATTTTTTTCTTTCTCTTTTTATTTTTTGGAGACAAGGTCTTGCTATGTAGCTCAGACTGGGTTGGAACACCCTATATGGCCCAGCTGGCCTTGAACTCATGGAAGTCTTCCTGCCTTAGCTTCCTCAGTGCTCTGATTACAGGTGTGCATGACAACACCTGGCTGTAGCTGATTTTTGCCAAGGCCCCGAGCTGAGCTGACAAACACAGATGTTATAAGGGCTGTTTCTGTCACGGATGTCTGTTTTCTTGTCAGCTCTGCATAGAAAATTCCCCCACGGCTACCATGGGGACTCGATGCTAGCAGTTCAGCTCTTATGTCAAAGCTCAGACCCAGAACCCAGAGGGGAAAAGGCACTTCTTTCCTGATACCCAACCCCAGGGAAGGGCTCTGACAGGCCTTACCTGATGACCCTCTGACTGCCCATAGACTGCTGGAGAGGTTGGGGATGTGGGCACAGTGATGGGCAGCCCCACCAAAACCACTGGAGTTGAGGGGAGTGTGTAGTTTTCCAGAAGTCAGGATGCTGATGCCAGAGATTCTGAGAAACTTGACTGCAGGATGTATAAGAATGTTGGTCACTTCCTACAGTAGTGATGGCCCATCATGTCAACTGCATGCTTTGCAGGTAGAAGAAGAAATTATCACCCTGCGCCAGGTCCTGGCAGCCAAGGAGAGGCACTGTGGAGAGCTGAAAAGGAGGCTGGGCCTGTCTGCCTTGGGGGAGCTGAAGCAGAACCTGTCTAAGAGCTGGCATGATGTGCAGGTCTCTAACGCGTAGGTACCAGCCCCACCTGGGCACACTCCTGTTGACTGGAAAGAGCCCTCACCAGGGCTGTGCCTCTGTCTTGCAGATGGAGAGTGTGAGTGCTTTGGATGAGATGCCTCACAGCGTTGGTGATGGAGTGGGCCTCAGAGGCCTGGAGTTCTTGTGTGGGGACTATACCTGTGTTTGAAGAGGTGCTGGACACATTAGCTAGTTATCCAAGCAGAAACTGACAAGAAGGCGGTGTTTTGGGGTCCAAGTTAGAGAGGGCACCAGTTAGGTCTTTATTTTTTTATTTTTTAAGGCAGGGTCTTGGTATGTAGTCCAGGCTGTCCTTGAACTCACTACATAGCCTAGGCTGGCCTCAAACTGGTGGCTTCCCACCTCAGCCTCCTGAGTCCCGGGGTTATAGTCATGCATCACCACGGCTGGCCTTACCAGTTAGGTCTTTAATGAGGATGACTTTTTGGGTCTGCTGAAATGGAGTCCTTCTTATCAACATTACATTCCCAAGACCTCTGACCTATACATGGCTCAGTTCTCTGAATTTGGGCAGTGGCTTCAAATTTCTGGCTCCTCTGACAATGTCCTTCAAGGTAGGAGAGTGAGATGTTTTCAGAAACCATGTCCTGAAGAAGAACTTGACTTGCAGTTTATAAACCTCTTCAATGAAGCCCCACATTTCTCCTTAGGACATTGTGGCTTTGGGTTCTGAAAGGTGACTGTCAGAGGATTTGGGGACCATGGGTTGTACCATCCTGCCTCCCCACAGATGTGCTATTCCCAGCAAAAGACCTGGGGCTGTCTTGGTGTGGTAGGAGAGCTGGTGCCTCAGCTGGTCCCCAGCATTTGTGCCAGGTCGTCCTCCTTTGTGTCTTCCGGAATCTTACGGTTTGAAGCCTGAGTTGAAATCATTCTAAATATTCACCACAAACTTTCTGTTTTTAGCTATGTGAAAACTTCTGAGAAACTTGGAGAGTGGAATGAGAAGGTGACCCAGTCTGACCTGTGAGTGCCTGTGCCATCAGCGCCCCTCCTTCTGGTTCTCCTCCTCCCAATTCTCCCTGGGAACAGAGAGGCTGTGCACACTTGGCACCAAATGCATTTCCCAAGTATAAATGAAACTACCCTTTAAACACCTGTGGGACAAGGGACAGCCAGAGGATATTTGCACAGCCACTGGACCCTGCTTAAAGCTCTTCTCTGCCTGACCAGGAGCCTTCCATGAGGGGCCTGAGTGGGACTCAAGCAGTGTCAGCCTGGAAGACACTTCTGGGCTTTCAGTAGTGGCCAAAGTGGATGGCACCACCTTACCTAATTTTGGTGATGACAAATTTTTGTTGGTTGTCCTCCTTCCTTCAGACTCAGTTCCAGTTGTTGGGGTCTTAGGGCTTCACTTGTGCTAGGGCCTCTGGGGAGGAAGTACCCTTGTGAGCTGGACGGTATCCTGGGCTATAGGCAGTCACGTGGATATCAGCAGAGTGCGGTTGATGTGTGGACAGCTTTGTGTGTCTGTCAAGCTGTAGATCAGAATGACTTTTGCTAAATCCTTAATGTAGATCATAGCATGTTGTTTGTCTGTATTTTTTCTATCTGATTATAATGTCAGAACTGGGTAGAGGAGTATTTAGATATAATCTCTTTGTAGGACCTTTCCATTTCTTGTTTAGAAAGAAGTGTTATGTTGCCATAAAACATAGGCAGAAGTTACTTCCACGTTTGGGCTAGAAGGAAATGTTGCTGCTGAGCTTGTCTTGATGGTGCTCAGGACCAGTCTGGCTCACTGTGCCCATAGGACTTTGTGGTCTGATGTTACGTGGGAGCCTGGTGCAGGGAAAATCTGGCTGTTTGCATGTCTTAGTTCATCAGCTAGCTGCTGCCCAGGGTATTGTAGGAGCACTGGTGGGATGTTTTTAAGGGTGTACTAGACAGTGATGTTGCTGGGAGCATATGTTCCTTGGGTGGGACAGTGTTTCAGTGCGGGTCAGGTGCTGGGCAGGCTCACTAGAGGTTGTCTAGAGGTTGTCTCAGGAATCTGGGCATGGTGGCATACACTTGTAATCTGAGCACTCTAGGAGGCTGAGGCAAGAGATGGCAAGTTTGAGCTCAGCCTGGTTAACTTAGTGATTTACTGACCCTGTCTCAAAATGAAAAATACAGGAGTCTGTGTAGGGTGGTGCTGGGAATGTACACTGGGTTCAATCTGTAGTACCTCCTTCCCCAAATACATATATATATGTCTCAGGAGACTTCAGTCCTATTGTGTGGGTAGAGCCACCTGACAAAGGGCTGCTGGGATACAATCTCATATAGTCTCTCAAAGAGCTTAGAACATGTAGAATTCTGATCCCTCTGAGAGAAACCTGTGGCTTAGCATGGAAGTGTGGCTGGTGGATTGGCTCTTTCCAAGTACTTCCCCTGCAGAGGCTGTTCCTTGGGCTCTCACATCAGCTCCTGGTATACAAGCTGTCACAATGAGAGTTACCGACCCAGAGGCCTTTCTGTACTGACAGCCCAAGAGACAGTGTGGCTTGCGGGTGGTGCTGAGGATCTTGGCTGCTCAGTGTCCTCTGCTTGGTTAGTGACAGTCCTGGCCAGCTTTAGGAAAAGGGCTGCTGCAGGATTTGACTCACTCGAGTCAAGTTTTTGCAAGGGAAGGGGATACAAAGCAGCTTGCTGACTTCCCTGACCCAAGTGTTTGTAGATCCTTTTAGCCAGTAGCACCCTGATGTCTGGGATAAGCACGGAGCTCAGGATCCTGTATGAATGTCTGCACCTGTGGGCTCAGCCCTCTGGAAGTTGTGTTGTACTTGCACAGCTGAGATGCTACTGGTGTCCTAGCCTCTCAGCTTGTCACTGCTCTGTGTGGGAACAGCCACATTCTGTGGGTTGTAAAACCTCACCTTACATTTCTCTTACAGGTAGAACTAGCTGAAAATCCATTGCTAAGAGTGGACCAAACTCTATTATATTTACTATTTGGTCCACTTTGAGTTCTTTGGGATATAGGTGACATAGCTAAAGAGAAGGAATGTCAGCCAGAGAGGGAGGCCAGAGGACTCATGGGACAGAGAAGCCCCTCCCCACAGCTTTGCAGGTGAAAAACAGAGTGGCACAGGTGTGGATCTTACTAGACTAGTTTTTGCAGCCAGGGAGCTGATATCCTCTGATCAGCCTTTGTGGGGGTAGGGGACTGCCCTAAAAGGAGGGGTCTGGCGAAGAGGCAGGAAAAGGATATCTGTCAGATCTGTACCCTGGCTGCTGAACATGCTTGCTGAGGGTGGGTGGAAACTACTGTCTGTCCTGGACTCCTGTCCCAAAAGGTCTACTAAGTAAACTGTCAAAGAGGAGCTGACCAGGGTGGCGCAGCCTGGTGCTTCTGAGCCAGCTTTCTGACTACGCTCCCTAGCCTTCACTTTTGGTCTGTCCTGTGGTGATGATATCCCTGCCCGCTAGGGTAACAGGGAGTGGGAGTGGGGCTGCAGCACGAGTTGTTTGGTCATCCAGCTCCAGGGTTTCTGCTTCTGAATGTGACTCCTTTGTGCGCCTCCTCACGTGCCCAGAAATGCTATGGGCAGGCTCTGCTGGATGATGCTGTGTCTCAGTGCTGGACCAGCTGCTTGCTTGGACACAGGTACTTGCTTTCTGTCCAGGGTGTTCCCACGGTGTCACCCTTTGAGCACAAATAGAGATTTTGTGAGGGTTTTTCCTTTCCTTTCTTTCCTTTGTTTCTCTTGTCCCCTTTTTTGGTAGTACTGGGATTGCTGAACCCAGGACTTCAGGCATCCTAGGAATGTGCTCTTTTACTGAGTCACACCTCCGGTCCCAGGATTTTTCTTTAAATCATCTGCTTCAGCTTATTTTACTTCAACAAATCATAGAATATTATTGTCATTTTGTGTATTTGTCTTTTTAGGGAAAATTGAGATTGAAGATGTGTCCTGAATTTGTATTTTTGCAACTAAATGTTGCTGGTCCTTAGTTATCTCTACATGCTATCATCTGTGGCTTGCAGTTAACCTTGCTTCCCTTGCTTTGGCAGGAAAGTGTGCCAGGTAGCTAGGCCTTGGGTGAGGTTCCTGCAGGTTCTGCCAGCGAGTGCCAGGAGGAGGATGTAAGTCTTCCTTATGGGCTGTGTGTGGGGTGCTACCAGACCTGCTTCTGCCTTTGGCCACAGTCTCACCTCTGGGTGGTGGTCATTAGGAGGGTCCTGGAGGGCAGCAGATGTGCCTCACTGGGTCTCTGTCAGGAGAGTGACTCAGAAGGACTGTTGCTGTCCTGTAGCTTGCTGATGCTAATGGGCATCTCGCTGGAAGGCTGGCCTTAAACCTCACAGGTAGCCAGGTTTTTGGGGAAGGAGCTTGCCAGGTCGGCCCTGATGATACCACATGGCCTTGGAACCCGCATCTACCCTTGACTTGACCTCAGGTTCCCTGGCTCTCCTCAGTAAGGAGTTCTGGCCAGAACGCTTTGAATGTGAGTTTTGGTGATGGGCTTTTGTCATGTTGGAGGTTGCCATGTCTTTCATTTGTGGTGACAGCTGGACAAGGGCTGGCAACCTCAGGTATTGGTTTGTGTGTCAGGCCCAAGAGCATCCCTTTGACCACCATGTCCTGCCTGTACTCATTCTGTTGATATTGAGATTACACAGCAGGGTCTCAGTGGAATAGGCCCACAAATGGGTGGGTACTGGAAGGATAGGCTGGGATACCTGAGTGGCAATCTGTACTGTGGGTCAAAACCATACTCTTGCGCTGTGTAACAGGGGCATGAGAACAGGATGGTCCTGTGTTCTGCAAGGACATCGTGCAAACAGTGCTGGAGGGTGAAGGCACTTGTCTGGAAAAGGCAGCCCACAGGTGACATACTCTCAAGGCTGTGACTGAGCTTGTGTTTCTTCCACTCTGAAGACTCTTACATGAGAGAGGGAGAGGGAAGCTTTGAACCTGTGTTGGCCCAGTCAGTAAGGGAGCTGGGACTGGCTTTTCTGGTTCTGGTGTTCTAGCACTGCCTGGCCAGGTGTGAAACCAGACCCTGGGCCTCTATGGGCTGTTCTGTCTGTGTTCGATAGGCATTGCTTTTCCTGGGGTAAGATAAGGAGTCTGCTAAGTTTCAGGTGAGGTGGAGATGCAGTATCTGAATTGTAGCATGAGGAAATTTATCTCAGAATTGGGGGAGTGTGACTTTGCTGGAAGCATGGTGAGTCTGCACTACAGGGGCCCCTGCACTGCCCCTCCATGGCAACCCAGCCAGTACCTACTGCGCACCAGACTCTTCCTCACCTCTCTCTTGGTGCTGTCTTGCACTTTGGTTCCTTGGCAGTAGGTCATGCCTGGCTGTGCTGCGTGGTTAGTCTAACTGGTGTGTCTTTTTCCCAGCTACAAGAAGACCCAGGAAACTCTCTCTCAGGCAGGACAGAAGACATCTGCTGCCTTGTCCACCATGGGCTCTGCCATCAGCAGGAAGCTTGGAGACATGAGGTGAGACCCCAGCCCAGTAGGGAAGGCATGCTGAGGAGCTGGAGGCTCTGGGAAGCCCACCTCAAGCAGGGGCTCAGGTGTGCGCCTGGCAGTGGCTGTGCCGGCGGCTGGACCAGTCTGCACAAGAACTTCGCTGGGGTGGGGAGGTCCTTCTGTGTTTTGCTGTCTGCCTTTTGACTGCTCAACCAGAGATGAGGATGGATGAGTCTACCCTTAAGGACCCACACAGCCAAGTAGAAGGGATGGCTTCTGCCCAGTAGTTGTGTTTATCCCTTTTTTGTTTGAGGTCATCTATCCCTTCCCCATAGCTCTCTGTTTTGAACAGTTTCCCAAGAAAAGCTCCAAGACCACTCTTTAGTTGTGTCTTCTACATGTGTCTCTGCACAGGTGTTGGCCATGCTCCTGAGCAGCTCTGGCTAGGGGTTTCTCTGTGTGGCCCCCCTCCATGGCTCAGTCCTGGCTGCTTTGATGGGGCGGGTTTTTATAAACCTACCTTTGTGGAAGCATAAGGACATTGATGCTGTTTCTTTGCTGCTACTTCTGTGACAAGGAATAAAGCTTGTGTTGTCTCCTCAGAGAAGAAGTGGGGTTTGGTGCAGACCCTATGGTATGTGGTCTCCAGGCTGTGGTGGGCAGTGAGCAGGGTCCCTGGCACATGCTGATGTGGTTCTGGCCACATGCATGGCTTCACTGCCTGCTGTGCAGGGGTTGCCAGAGCAAGAAGGGGCCTCAGGACAGAGTCAGAGGAACTAGCTCTCTGCATTTGGCTGTTTGAGATTAAGATGCTCCAAATGTGGCCTGTTGCTGTTGTGTCTTTCTTCTCAGGGCACTTCTGGTGGTGTTTGTGATGGTGTTGTGATCTCTGAACTCTCAAGGCCATGATAGATCTTTGTCATTTCTTTTTGTTGTTTTGAGACAGGGTCTTTCTACATAGTTCAGACTGATCTTGAACTCACAAGTAGCCCATGCTAGTCTCAAACTCATGGCAAGCCTCCTGAGTGCTGGGATTACAGGTGTGTACCACTACACCTGACCAGACTGCTGTCATTTCATCAGGTGGTCACAGGTGGTTTCCTGAGACTAAGGCCTGTTGGCCTCCTGGGTTACAAACTGAGGCTGAGAGCTTAGGTCTTCTTGTATTTAGTTCATGCTGGCCTTGAGCTCACTTATGTAGCCCAGGCTGGCCTTGAATTCGCAACGATTCTCCTACCACCAACCTCCCAAGTGCTGGGATTACAGGCATGCGCCACTATGCCTGGCTTGAGCTCAGGTCTTTTTGGAGTTTGAGGCAGTCTCAGGAAGCTGACAACATGAGTTTAGGAAGGGACAGTCCCTTGTGGGCTCTTCCTGACCTGAGCCCAGGCCCTGTGCCTGATACCTGTGTCCATGATACCTGTGTCCATGTACCTGTGCCTGTCCTAGGGCATCCCTGGCCCCCAGAGTCCTCTGGTATGCCATAGGACCTGAGAAGATGGGGAAGGGGAAGGGTGAACTGGATATGAGTCAAGAGAATGGTTTCTTCAGGGTCACCATCTTCCGTGGGTCTTTCCTTGTTGGGAATGGCCTCCTGTTTTGGCTTCTAGTGTGTTAGTGGTGGAGGGCCCAGTTGCACCGTGAAGGAGTGGCCTCCATTGTCCCCAGCCCAGTAGCTCCCCTCAGACTACACATTTCCTGGGCACCCTCTGTGGAGTTAGAAGCCAGAGCAGAAGTGCTTGGCCCTGAGGGTGTCCCCTATCTCTTACGGTGCTTGTGTTCCAGTTCAGCTTGGAGAATGAGGCTGCTTTGTGGATGTGGAGGGTTGGCCTAGCCTGGCTGGCTCGTCTCATGCCTTTGTGCTGTTAACAAGGCCCCTTTCCTTTTAGACATTGTCTTTGATCCTCTTTTTTGGCTTCTCCCCTTCAAGCTTCAAACAGGATGTGGGCACAGGAGCTTCTCGTACATGTGACCATGCCCGGGAGGTAGAGCCAGGAACCACAGGTTGCTGGCTGTACTCTCAGGAGCCTCTTACAGAGTCAGGACTGGCCACGTGTCTTGCTGTTTCTGCCTGTATAAGCGCTATAGGAGCAGCCATGAAGACCTTTCCATACACTATCCCTGCTTGGCCTTCCAGAACTTGAGCAGAAGTGGGGGCTGCTTTGGGGATCTTGGTTGGCACTAGCCTCCCTTGCTTAACACTGCCTTTCTTCTTTTCCTGCTGCCACTTTCAGGGCTCATCCATTCTCACACTCCTTTAGGTAAGACTGACCCTGGATGTAGTTGTGGAAGATTTATCTTTGAATCAGGACTGGGTAGATTGTGGAAGGGCCCTGGGGAGGCTGTGCTGGGTGGAGGTATGTGGGTGGGGTGCAGTGGAAGAGCCCCCTTCAGGGTGGTAGCACTCACCTGTCACTGCTTTGAAGGCTGTTGGCTACCAACTTGGCCCATGCAGAGACTTCTCCCTGGCCTCCCTGACACTCTGTCCTCTCCGAGTATTTCATGTTTGGGTGCATGTAGCTGCCTGTTCCTGGGGTAGGCAGTGGGTGACTCCCGCTCATGCAGTAAGCGCATCATAGCATCTGCACTTAGGTTTATTCTCAAAAAGAAGCACTTCACATAGGGGGATGACATCAGCCTTCTTGCTGTTCTTTACCCTTTCAATGTAGGTCCTGTTTCCTTGCTCCCTGAGAAACTGTCTTGCCCCTCAGGCTGAGTTTTGTTTCATTTATTACCTGAAAGCCCTTAGATATTCCTCCCCAGGGCTCCATTCCCTTGTGCTGGCAAAGTGCACTTTTTGGCCAATATGAACGTTTATGTACCACTGCCACACTGCAGCTGGAATCCAAGTCAGATCAATCTGTGACTTTTTACTTCACCCAAGTGTTTCTGTTTTGCCCAAAGATGACTCACCTTGTTGTGAGGATAGATGACACTTACGTGGAACAAATGATCTCACAAGTCTCAGATGTGCATTTCCTTACATTTTACCTGTTTAAGTACTCCTACTTTCACAGTGCTGCTCCACCAGGTGGCCTCGGCTGCCTTTGTGGGTCTGGGAGAGAGGTGCTTTAGGTTGGTTTCCTTCTGGCATTATGTAGAGTGGGCTCATTCCAGTTCTGTGGGAGTGGGGTCCCTCTTCCACCCTGCAAAGTTGGTTTACCTGTGAATCAGGCTGGCTAGTGCCTGCCAGTCTGATGCCCTATGCTAACTTGCTTCCTTTTCTGCTTCTACCATGCTTCCAAGCAGCAGCTACTCCATCCGCCACTCAATAAGTATGCCAGCCATGAGGTAAAGTACGCTTGTTCCCTGTTGCTTCAGAGCTGTGGGCCGGGAGTATAGCTCAGTGGCACAGTGCCTGCCTGGCTAGCACAAGGTCCTGAGTTCGATTCTCCATACCAAAAAAATAAATAAAAAGGATATAGCAAAGCTGTGGTGTCTCTGGGTCAGGGTAGGGCAGCACCCATCAGTGATACCTTGTGCTTCTTGTATCCCCAAATGCAGGACCCCATTCCCTTGGTAGCTTCCTGCTGGCTAAGGACGAGAAAAGACCCCTTCAGGCTGGTGAGGAAGAACTCATGGAGCTGAGGCTCCTATCCTGATGCCTCTAGAGCAGCAGTCCCCAACCTTTTTGGCACCAGGGATCAGAGAACAGCTGTAAACACAGATGAAGCTTCACCTGCCTGCCTGCCTGCTGCACACTTCCTGCTGTGTGGCCCAGTTCTTAACAGACCTTTCCATACACTACCCCTGCTTGGCCTTCCAGAACTTGAGCAGAAGCTTGTGGCCCAGGGGCTGGGGACCCTTGCTCTAGAGGAGTCCATGCTGCCAAACTTGGCTCTATCCTGAAATCCCCAGTTCCTGGCCATGGCTCCTTGCAGGGTCAGTAGGCAGAGGGTGGCAAGGCTGGCACATAGACAGTGGTACCTCTACAGGAAGCCTCTCTTGAGGCCTCACTTGTCTTAGACCCTCCAGGAGCACCCATAGCATGATCTCTTGGTTCTCATTTGCTTGGTCAGACATAGCATGGTTCAGCACAGCGCATTCTTTTTCTTTTTCTTTTTTTGGTGTTTTTTTTTGAGACAGGATCTCACTGTGCAGTCCAGGCTGACCTTGAACTCACAGCAGTCTTCCTGCCTCAGCCTCCTGAGTGCTGGGAGGCATGTGCCACCATGCCTGCGCAAGCATAGCCCATTCTTATCAGGGGGAATCTTTTTTTTTTTTTTTTTGAGACGGGGTCTTGCTGTGTAACCCCGGCAGGTTTTGAACTTGTGTAGTCCTAAATGCTGGGATTAAGCCATGTGCACCATGCCTGGCGCATCAAGGGAATCTTGGCGATCTGGTTGTATGAAGCTATGAGATGGGGACTGGCCTGTTTTTTCCTCTGCTATCTTACCCCTCTAGAACTGCTTCTATGAGACATGTGAATGAAGGACTTCAGGACTTCTCACAGCCTTAGTGCAGAGGAGCCAGGGGTGTTGGGGTGGGGTGGGGGTGATGGGGGTGAGACATGGGCTTTGTAACTCACAGTGACTTCAAACTAGAGATTCTTCTGCTTCAGCCTCTGGAGTGCTAGGATTATAGGTATGTGCCACCATACCTGGGTTCTAAGGGTATCCATTTAAAGTGTGGTAGAGATGTGCCAAGCACTTAGGATTTGCAGTGCCTCTGTGATATCTGAGCTTGACTCAGTTGGCAGGTGTCAGCTCTGACCTGGGGAGTCACTGGATGCTGGCTGGGCTCCTTATGGGGTACCCTACCCCCTGTCTGGTGGGTTACATTTTTCCTGCAAGAGCTCAGGATGCTGTCAGGGCTCCTGACAAGGGCCTAGCTCTAAAGCTCTTCATATTGAAGAGGGCATCACCAAGGTTGCTCTTCACACCTATACCTCTCCCCTTTCTCTTTAAAGGAACTCTGCCACCTTCAAGTCATTTGAAGACCGAGTGGGGACCATAAAGGTAATTGTCCCTGTACAGTCAGTTCTCTTTATGAGTGTCACCTGTCATGTCACTTTTCATTGTAGGAAGCTGTTCAGAGTGCTCTTATACCTTTTATGGGCTTTGATCCAATGATGACATCTTGTAGAGTTATGGTGCAGCCTCCTAACCAGGGCACAAAGACAGAGAACATCCATACCCACCAAAATCGCTCTGTGGCTCTTACAGCCATGTCTACCTTCTCTTGCCCCTGCCTTGCCAACTGCTAATCTTTCCTCTGTCTCTAGAATTTTGACACTTTAAGAATGTCACATAGTGGACACAGAATATAGAGCCCCTTTTTCATTTTGTTTTTTTAGACAGAGTCTTCTATGTAGTTCAGGCTGGCCTTGAACTTACTATGTGACCCAGGCTGGCCTTAAACTCATGGCAGTCCTGCCTCAGCCTCCCTTCCTGATTGCTGGGATTACAAGCATGTGCCACCATGCCCATCAGTATATAGCATTTTGGGATTAGCTTTCTCATCATGCTGCATAATTCCCTGGGGACCCAACCAGCCCTTTGCCTGTCAGTGACTCGTTCCTTTGTTTCTTGGTGAACTAACTGCTCTTCCTTTCCCTGTCTCTTTCTCCTCCCCCTTCTCTCCCCCTCCTCCCTCCTCAGACTGCACCCAGGCCATCTGTAAGGAGTAAACCTTTTTTAAATTTTGAAACGTCTTGCTAAGTGGCCTGGGGTGGCTAGAACTAGCAATCCTCCTACCTTAGCCTGCTGAGTAGTTTTTGTGTTACATAAGCTTACGTATCGAGGTGAACTAGGCCTAGGACTTAACTTGCATGTCCTCTAGTTCTCAGGTTTTGCTTTCTTGATCTTTTTCCTTCTGTAGTCTAAGGTTGTAGGTGGCAGAGAGAATGGCAGTGATAGCCTACCTTCCCCAGTGGGGAGTGCCGACCCGCCCCTGCCAGATCATGCACCTTTCTAAGCCTGTGATAGTGTCGCCAAGCCGCGGAACAGGTGCAAGCACATCCTCATCATCACAACTGCAACTCTGCGCAATGGAGCCACCAGCACAATGGAGCTACTAGCTGGGGCAAGTGAACAGTCGGTTTTGAGGACAATCACGCCCATCCACATGCAGATGTGGCTGCTGCCTTTGCAAGAGTTAGAAAACAATCCTGTATATAAATGTTTTACACTAAAGTTCATAGGTGAAGCAGATCACTGTGTTGTCCTTCTTAGGGCCACAGGAAATGGACAGAGTGGAGAGTCTGAGGGGTAATAGGCCAAAGCATGCTCCTCTTGGGAATTCTGATAACTCCCCAGAACTCGGAGGGAAGGAGACACATTAAGAATATGAAACAAGCAACATTTTCTGGCTTCCCCTCTTTTTCCTGTACTCGCAGAGCATATACCAAGGACGCACTGCCAGGGTACAGTTTTCATCTGGAGGTGCTGAATGAGAACTGTCCATTTTCTGAGACCTCAGAAAGGAAACATTGTCAGCAGCTGCCTAATTGTTACACTAATGACCTTGCTTTGACAAACAGATTTACTATTTTTTAAATGCAGTGGACTCCTCAGAAATTAAAATTTGGCAAAGTAGCTTTAGCCTCATCATTAGAGAATATTAGTTCTTTGGACTCAAGCTGAAATTCAAGCCTTACATCGCCTTATGCTATGTTTATTAAAAAGTTTATATATGAGAGTTCTTCAGTAGGTTCTGAGCGTTGTGTAGAGTTTTTTACATTGGACCCGTGTTGCACCTTGCCTGTACCAATTAATGTGTTTATCTCACTAGCACCTTCTAGTGTGAAGAACTTGATTCTTGCAAAGACTGGCAGTTCCTCTGGCTCCCTGCTCTAGCCCAAGGGGCTCTTGGGTCTCGGGGGGCAGGAGGGACTGAGAGAAGGAAACCCTCTGATTTTAGCACCCTTGGACAAGATGTGCCTCTGCATAGCACTGATGGCCCAGCCTGCTTGCTCACTGCACACAGGAGAAGCACTACCAGTCCTTTAGGTCATGTTGGAAATGGGGTTTGGGATCAGCTGGAACTCTGCTGCCACCTTTTCTCAGGAGCTATAAAGATTACTTGTTCATTTTTAAACTGCCATACTCTGGTAGCCTCTCTTGCTAGGGCCCCACGTGTAGGAGGCGTGGTCTAGAGGGGCAGCTGTGTGCCTTAGTGGCTCTTAGCAGGGCACCAAGACCTTGCCTGCTGTGTGCATGTATTTGCATCTTGGAAGCAGAAGGGGCTGCTCAATGTCTGCTTTACTGGGATATGTGTCCTCTGATGACCAAGGGTCCCTGGCCACTTCAGACATCCTTAGAGGCTACCCGTCATGCACAATGAGGGTGCAAGGGCTGGAAAAGAATACCACTTGGTGCCCTTTTTCTATGGTTAACTGCCATTGGGGTATGACGAGAAGGCAGGTTGCAGGAATGATCATTGATGTATCTTTCTAAAATGAATAAATGGGCAATTTGTCAATAAAGCATTCCTTTGGGAAAAAATCCACATGTGCTTATTGAATGTGTCTTCTAGGACATTGATAAAAGTGGTGAGTAAACCAGTACATGAGTCCTTGCTGTTGTAAGCCCACACCCTTTTGGGAGGCAGGCAAGGGACAGTCACAAACTACAAATCTTTGATGCTGTGAAGGTAAGGGAATGAGCCGGCATCTCTGAAGCCCCATGAGGAGGATTTCCCAGAGGCCTGGAGGATCTTGCTTGCTTACAGGTTGATCCAGCATTGAGGGACTTGCCAACTAGTTAGGATTGACCCAACTGAGGGGAACTCCTTGCTGCCAGAGCACTCTAGCTCAGTTACAGTTGACTGTTGTGTAGACCACTGACATTGGGAAGGCTATGTTTGTTTGTTTGTTTGTTTTTGGTACCAGGAATCAAACTCAGGATCTTGCGCTTGTCAGGCAGGTGCTTACACCACTGAGTTATATCACCAGCCCCGGGAAGGCTATGTTGACCCTCACTATGATGCTGGGTCACACCTGGATTTAGGGAGCTCACCAGGCTGAAGTGGGCAATGGAAAGAAGAGGATCCTGGTCCTCAGGCCACCAGTGTGAGGGCCACAGAGGGGGGGTGTGAAATCCCATGCTCACAACAGTTCTTCAAAGATACGATCTTGTTCTGTAGATGAGGCTATTAATATAAAAATGGTAACTGAAACCCCCTAACCTATGAATTAGATCCAGAGAGCCGAGGCAGCAACCAGTCTGGGCTAGAACTGGAGGTCCTGTTAGCTGTCATGGGGAAGGATGTAGTTCTGGCTGTTGTGTACAAGCTTGCCTCAGGTGTCTTAGATGGGGGTGGGCACATATGCATGTGACTAGAGGGGTTCCTGAGGCCCGTGATGCACAGACTCCTTGTAGGTCACATGTTTCAAGACTGTTCACAGGGTTAAGTCAAAGTGAGGCTGGGCATGGTGGTGCATGCCTGTAATCCTAGCACTTGGGAAGCTGAGGCAGAAGGGTAACTGTTTGTTTTTGGTCTTTTTTTGAGATAGGGTCTCACTATGCAGTTCAGGCTGGCCTTGAGCTCACTTTGTAACCCAGGCTGGTCTCAAACTCACAGCGATCGTCCTGCCTCAGCCTTCCAAGTGCTAGGATTACAGGAGTGTGCCAGCACACCTGGCAAGGGTAATAGTTTGAGGCCAGTCTGGGGCTACATAGATACTCTCTATGAAAAAAAACAAACAGGATACACAGGAGTGCTCAGAAATGGGCTTCTGTTTCCCACCCACTGCAGTGATTCCTGTTGTGCATTCTCCTGATGTTTCTTTGTGCAACATCATGGAAATGTTTTCTCATTTTCTTCCCTTTCCTGCTTAAAAAAATGGCACATAACGTGCGCCCTTGTCATGATTTGTATCTAGATGTCCCGCCAAAACCTCATGCACTCACAGTTGGGACTTTTCAGGGCTGGCTGGATCTAGGGTGTGACGCCAGGATTAAGGGTGTCCCAGCCTAGGGGTGGCGGGTAGGCTGGATGAAATGTAAAGGCAGGCTTCCTGGATGCTCCTGCTGCTGCCAGTTGGTGCTTGGCTGCCTTCTGCCTATCCTGCCATGGACTGTTTCTCCTTTGCCACGCCACCCTCCCTTGGAGCCAGCTGACTATACCCTGAAACCTCTATAAATTGTGAACCACAGCGAACTCCTCCTCTAACTTTGGGTGTCAGATACTTGGTTTCAGTAATGAGAAAAGTAAGACAACCCTGCTTTTTCTTCCTAATGATACTCTCTGCATTGTACCCTGCAACACCTGTAAGGAACTGTGGGGGAGAGCTTCGGTTCTGGGATCCCCCTAGTGGAGTGCACCTGAGTCTTTCTGCCACCTTGGGAGTTCCTACAGGGAAGCCACTTTAGTGGGCACATAGACCTGGGGACAGGGTGTCAGAGGTAATGAAGTTTGGGTCCAATATAATGTAGGGGAAATTCAGTGACCTTGAATCAACTGATGAACTGGGCTGGTAGTAATACCAGAAGATAGAAAGCACCATACAGCCAGTATTTACTGTAATCTATGTCAGATGTGGGTTCCATGCAATTTTTTTTTTGAGACCAGGTTTTCCTATGTAGCCCAGGCTGTCCTCAAACTCATGGCAATCCTCCTGCCTCAACCTATGGAGTACTGAGATTACAGGCACCACTATGCCCAGCTCTAGTCTTTGTGTATTAAGCAAATACTTTATTTATTTATTTATTTGTCTTTTTGAGACAGGGACTCGCTATGCAGTTCAGGCTGGCCTTGTGTAGCGTAGGCTGGTCCTGAACTCACAACGATCCTCCTGCCTCAGCCTCCTGAGTGCTGGGATTACAGGCGTGCACCACTACGCCCGCTTTAAGCAAATACTTTAAAATGTTCTCTAGGTCAGTCTGCTAAGCCTTCTGGCATAAGAGTGAATCTGATGTGGACTCTGCCCTCGAAGATTTGGTGATTCCACTTGTTGGGTAAGATGAGATGTTCCCTTAAGTAAATCTGAGTTAAGATGTGATAAGATGCTTTGAGAGCTTTTTGGATGAGCAAGCAGAGGTGAGGGCACACCTGGGGGGGGGGTGGCATGGGGGAGGAGCAGCCATACCTGAAGCCTCAGAATGAGGATGGCATACCTGTTTGTTCAGGTAAAGGACAACCACACAACAGGGCCTGACAGATCAGAGGTCAGTGTTAGACTCCAAAACTAACAACTCCCAACCCTTGACAGGCACCTTGCTGTTTTTGTGGTGCTGGGGATCAAACTTGGCTTCATGCCTGCTAGGCAAGGACCATACATACCTCAGAGTTCAGTACAAAAAGACTGGCTTACACAAACCTGGTGGAAAAGAGACTGGATTTTACTTAGTCCTGGGAAGCCTTTGATGTCATTTGTTTTTTGTGCTGGGATTGTACCCAGGGCCTTTGCTCTGAGCTACATCCCCAGCTCTTATTTTTAAATTTTGAGACAGACTCTCCTTTAGTTGCTAAATTGCCCAGGCTGGGTCTGATTTTGATTCACCTGCCTTAGCCTCCTAGTGCTCTGATTACAGATGGGCCCCACAAAGCTTAACGTTGCTTTATGTTTCTAAAAGGTGACTGGTAAAGTCGGGGTGTGGTGGCTCCCGTCTGCAATCCCAGCAGCCAGGAGGCTGAGGCGAAAGATTTCAGTTGGAGGTCACCTGTGCTACCTAGAGGGACCCTGGCTGAAAAACAAAAAACCAGACCCCCAAAACCAAGAGCAAAAGTGCTGATGGAAAAATGATGGATGCGGAAGTGGGAGAGCGCAGCAGCCGGAGCCTTGGCTGCAGAAGTCGTTTGGTCCTCTGCAAACACTGGACAAGTAGTAGCACAGCTAAGAGCGAGTGACGGGGAAGGGTGACCAGCTTTCCAGTCTCAGCGGGTCGGCGGGATGAACAAAGGTTTTACCAGCACGGGAAGGTGGAGTCGAAGTTCCTTCTCCGCCTCTGCAAGCTGTCGTGTGCAGGCGATTCCGGGAGCCCGCTGGGCTCGGGCGGTGACAATTCAGTGACCGGATGGGAAGGAAGGAAGCAAGTCCCCTCTCGGCTCTCTCACCTAGTGGTTCTGATGGGGTGTGAGGTCTCTCCGCCATCTCCCACCAGCTCCCCCTCCCAAGTTCTTTGATAAGGACAGTTACAGTTTTTTCAATCGTCGGTAAAGCGCTGAGCAAATAGCCGCAAGTCAGTCCCGCATTTATCTTTCCGTAAGGCCCTTCGCAGCGCCTAACCGCCATCCGGGGGTCGCAGCAGCCGCCAGGGGCCAGCCGGGGTCCCGCAACGCGGGCTCACCCCAGCGTGTCCGCCCTGCCCTTGCGGGCGGAGAGAGCTTCCGGCCCTCGCCTGTGAGCTCCGCCTACCTCCAGGCGCACCGCCTGGTTAGTCGTGCCCGCCCACACAGAGGCGGAGCCTCCGCAGGTCGGCTCTCCGGGACCTCTATCCCGGGCGATCACTCGCGGCTCCGCTTGGCGGGCGGGGCTGCCACACGGCTCGCCGAGCGCATGCGCGAACTGCCCAGTTCTCCGCTCCGACCCGTCCGAGCCCACGTCCTTCCGAGGGCGCGCGCGCCGGTGCGGGTGCGTGCGTGAGCCTGCGTGAGCGTGCGCGTCTCCGCCGCTGCCGGTGCTGCTCCCGCGTCCTGTGTTGCTGCCGCCGACTGCCGGGATACCTAGCTTGAGGAGTGCGTCTGCTGGCTGCCAGCAGCGCCGCGGAGCGGGAGCGGAGCCGCGGAGCAGGCGGCGGGCGGCGGGCGGACAGGTGAGCTCGCGGCGGCCGGGAAGGCGGGCCTCAGATCAGGCTGAGGGCCGCAGGTCCGGTCTCTCGCAGCCGGAAATGGCGGCGACCCTATGCTGCCGGTGGGCGGGCGGCCTGGCGGTGCGGGGCAAGGTGCGGGCCTGCGGTCGGTCTGGGCCCCCGCCGCGCGAGGCTGGGCTCGGCCTGGTGCCGGGCGGGGCGGGGTCCGGCGCCGGAACCCTGGTCCGAGGAGCCGGCTGATTGCGACGCCGGCTCATGCTCACAGCTCTGGTAGTTGAAGATCGCCTGACGCCCTGAGATTGTCTTCTAGGGGCTGTAAATCTGGAAAGCGTTGGGCTTGTCATAAATCTGTTGTGCCTGCTTTACGGCATTTTGTACCGAACTCTCGCGTAGAGCATCGGGGATTCGCCCGTCCTGGCCCCGGGGTGTCACGTTCAGTGGCGGGGCTGAGGACTTGCCGTCTGCCGGTGAGGCGGGTTCGCAGAGCGCGTCCAGTTGTGTTTGGGGGCTGAAGGAAGCGGCAGTTCCTGCTTTGGTTTCAGATTTAGACCTGAAGGGAGAGATCCGGGTTACTCTTCGAACGTGCCGAACGGCTGGTCTTGGCCTAGCAGTGCTGGGTCTGAGTTGTTAGCGCCTTTGTCTTTAGTAATTTGTCTGTCAGTAAGACCTATTTGAATGGTAGAAACAGTTGTTTTACTCTCTTGTCATGATTGCTTGAAGGCAAAACTTTATTCAGTTCTAAGATAATTTGCACTTATTTGCTTTGCTCTCTTTAAAAAATGTCCTGCTGAGTGTGAGGATTGAGTGATCTGTCAACCGGAAGTGAAATTAGATTTTGGAAGTTTGCAGCTTGAGTGTGTTCACATCTTCTTTTCCCTGTCAGTGCTGTAGTGCTCAATGGCTGTGGTTGTCAGACTGTGTGTCTGCTACTGTGGAGCTAGTGTGGCCTCCGGACGCAGACCCTTGCTGAGGGGGAGGGCCTGTCAGTCCGTGCACGGTCTGAGCCCCCTGACTAACTTTGTCCTCACTCCTGTAGTCTTCGTGTTGATCTCTCTGTGCAAAGGGAAACGCTGTGTCCTTGGGTCTGCCTGGGATGCTCGTTTCCTTTGTGGCTCTCTGAGACATTCCATGATAACACTATTTTTAATTTCTTCACCTTCTATTTCTTGACTTTCTTCCCTGCTTAATATCTACCCATAGGTGTTGAACCTGCTAATTTTCTATGTAATATATATCATGTTTAATGTTTTTCTCTGAGGTAATAATCTCCACGGGGAGATTATTCTTTCAAGGAAGAGTTGCTGGTACACAGCATGTGCTCAGTAAGTGTTTGCCAAATGAATGGGAATGAAGAACTTAGCAGTAGCTGTGTCTTGTGATGGCCATGCCACCCAGAAGCCATTGTGGGTGAGTGCTGAGCACAGGTTCCTGGGAAGCGTATAACAAGTACCATGTACCTTCAGGACAGAGCTGCCACCTGACACCCATTGACTGAGGAAAGGGCAGCCAGTTAAGAGAATGACCAGAAGGGTGCACAGAACCTGCCTATGAGTCTTTATGTAGCTTTGGATCTGTAATTATTTCAGAGTTAAAAGTTTTTAAAAAGTTGCTGGCATAGTGGCACACACCTGTAATCCCAGCACCCAGGAGGCTGAGGCAGGAGGATCACCATGAGTTTGAGGCCAGCCTCTGGCCTGAACTACAGAGTAAGACCCTGTCTCAGAAAGCTAACCAAAAAAGTTTTGGGAGTCCTTTGCAGGACCTTTACCTATAAACTCAGAGTGGGTTCCCCTGTGTTCTCAAGACCGAGTCTGTTAGTGTGGTTCAGGGATTGAAAGGGTGCTGGGTGGGTCTTGTTAAGTCCAGGCTGGCCTTGAGCTCACTGTTTAGCATGGGCTAGCCTCAGACTCAGGTGATTCTCCTGCCTTAGCCTCCCAAGTGCTGGGATTACAGGCATGAACCACCACACCTGACTGGGCTTGGTTGATCATGAGTTCCCTTTGTTTGCGAGTGACACCTCTGGCCCAGTTAGGACTCACTGCGGCAGTCTGTCTTGCTCAAGGTCTCTCTGTAAATAATTATCACACTTAGACTCCTGGGAGTTAGGTTATTCTAACTGTTCATTGATCACCTATATTGTGCAGAACCACATGAAAGCTTCCATTATTGAATTGTTAGAGGTGAAGTGTATAGTGCCTAGACAGTAGTAGATACCGAGCAGATGTTTATTGAATGAATGGCTAAAATGCAGCGATACTGAGAGTCATAATAAGATAGAGTTTCATCTAAGAAAGAGGTATTTGAGATTAGGGGTGTAATGCAGTGGTGCAGCACTTGCCTAGCATGTGCTAGGCCTTGGGTTCCCCAGCTCTGGAAAGAAAGTAGTACTTCTAAAATGAGGTTTAATGCTTGCTTCGGCAGCACATATACTAAAATGAGGTTTATTATTCTTTGCTGAAGAGTTTTGTGCCACGAATATAGTTTTTTTGTCAGACACACCTCCTGTTTCTTCACAGGGCCCCACATGGTCAGGGCTTCTTTTATCTCCAAGCCTTTGCATTCTGTAAAATGTAGGTAATGGTTTCCACCCCACCTGCCTATTATTGGAGGAGCAAGAAATGATAAATCGAAAGATATCTCACCTACTGCTTCCTAAATAGAAGTGACACAAATGCTGAAAAATGGTGATAGCTTTATTTTGTGAAAATACTATCCCTAAAATACACCTAATCTTACAGCCTGGACTGCTGTGCCAGGGCTACCTCAGATAATGACAACCCCTGATGAAGATTAGCAGCCAGTCTGTTACCAGTCACTGGCAATTCAATCTGGAAGATTTAAGGATTAGATTACCCAACAACCTTTAGTGTAGATTTTGTCTTCCCTGACACCTTGCATTAACTTTGAGAACGCTGTACTAGTGAAAAAGTGTGTTCTGCTTTATGTATTTATTTTTTAAGTACTGGGGATTAAACCCAGGGCCTTCACACTGAGCCACATCCCCAGTAACTTTGTTTTTTTATTTTGAGACAGTCTAACTGAATTGCTGAGTTGCGCAGGCTGGATTCAGACTTGTGATTCTCCTAGCTCAGCCTGGGATTATGGGTATGTACCATCATGCCCTGCTATAGATACAGGTTACCTTTTGTTTTGTTCCATGTTGTTTTTTGAGATAGGGTCTTACACTGTGTAGTCCAGGCTGTAAGTCACAGCAGTCCTCCTGCCATAGCCTCCCCAAGTGCTGGTATTACAGGCGTGTGCCACCACAACCAGCCCATTTCCTTAAATTTTAAGAGCTTTTGCAACTATATTGATACTTCACATTGCAGTTGCAGAAGTGAAATATAGCATCTCATTCTCCAAAGTAGGAAGTGCTTAATGAGACCAGGTTTCAGAAAACTCACTGAAAATTCTGTCTTGGTCAGTTAACTTTTCAGGACTGATCTGTATACACTAAGGTTTCAGTCATTTCAAAGTCCTCAGCATTTTATAAGAGTGAGTTGTAGCTGGGCGTGGTGGTGCACACCTGTAATCCCAGCACTTGGGAGGCTGAGGCAGGAGGATCATTGCAAGTTAGAGAGCATCCTGGGCTACAAAGTGAGCTCAAGGCCAGCCTGAACTGCATAGCGAGACCCTGTCTCAAAAAGACAAAAACAAATAAACAAACAAACAAAAATACAAGAGTGAGTTGTAAAAAACATTGCTCTGTGGAAGAGAACATTGTCGTTTACTCCTGAGACATTAAACCAAATAACCTTTTTAGATTTGGTAATACAGTGTGTGTGTCCCGAAGGAATAGTCCCTGAATCTGAATTCAGTCATCATGGATTGTTCTGTTTTGTCTTTTTGAGACAGGGTCTCACTATGCAGTTCAGGCTGGCCTTGAGCTCACTTTGTTGGCCTCGAACTTGCACCAGTCCTCCTGCCTCAGCCTCCTGAGTGCTGTGATTTACATGCGTGTGCCACCAAGCCCAGCTGTTTGTAGTTTGTCATATACGGAACATGCATCACCAGCAGCAGTGGTGGTCTGTGAGATGGCACAGTCCTCTAGTGTCTCTATGGACGTGTTCTGAGGAATGCTTTTAGGGTGGTTATAAGTGACAGCCCTGGTGACTCAAAAGATGGGAGTGTTGATATCAATGCCTGTGGCCCTCTTATCAGCAGTACCCTGCCTGGTGACTCTTGGGAAGTAGTGCACAGCCTCTTGGGGAGTACTCCTGTCCTATGTGGTTGCTCCTTTTCCAGGTGGAGGCGTGAACAGTTAAAGGAACAGAACTAAAGTAACCATCACATTCTGACTCTTGAGTTCTGTTAATGGCCAGGGGCTGAACTCCTTGGGGGTTAGGAGACCAAGACTGTAGACTCCTGTTCTAAATGGAAGTGAGCCCACCATGGCGACCTGGCTGCGGGGAGAGCATGTGTCACTGTCTGCCTGTTATCTTCTCTCTCTCTCCCTGCCCCCTGTACTGGGAATCGAACTCACGACCTTGTGCTAGCCAGGCAGGCGCTGTGCGGCTGAGCTAAATCCCCACCCCTATCTTCTTTTTTTAAGGTGTCAGAAGGGATCAGGATCATAGCAAATGTTTTTTAGCTAAGCAGTGCTAGGATTTTTCTTTATTTAATAAGGGTGGGGTGTCTTTTATCATGAAGGAGTTTCTCTACAACAAATAAAATTCTGGGTCAGAGGGTGCAGACTTCATATGTGTGTGTGTGTGTATACACACACACACGAATATATATACATATATATACACATACGTATGTATATAATTCATATATATATATATATATATATATATATATATATAGTGGTATTGGGGATTGAACCCAGGGCCTTCACACTGAACAGCTACATCTGTAGCCTGCTTATTTATTTTTTGTTTTTGTGGTACTGAGAATTGAATCTAAGGCCTTTGCATTGAGCTCTGTTCCCAGTGATTTTTAAAAATTTTTTATTTTGAGAAAGAGTCTTGCTAAATTTTCCAGCCTAGGCTTGAACTTGG